TAATTAAGTTTTAATAATTATAATTAATAATTAGACAATAATAATAATATAAAATTGAATTAATATATCCACTCCCTACCCCAATCACCCCCAACCCCCCAAACCAACATTTACATCAAACTTCAAACCCTAACACCTCTACTCTCTCTCTCTCTCTCTCTCTCTCTCTCTCTCCCCATATTCCCTCTTATCTCTATCCCTCCACCGGTAATGGACGCTACGGGGAGAGGATTGGCGCCGCTGCAAGAGATCCCTCCGCTGGTAATGGACGCTGCGGGGAGAGGATCGGCGCCGCTGCAAGAGAGCGACCTCGACTGCAAGACCGACGCTGCCTCGACCTCTGCCCAGGACGGTGGGAGGCGATCTGACATCGTCGCTCACAAGAAGGTAGGTCACGGTTTCAACATCACATGAAGCTGGGTTGTTTTGACACGGTTGAATATTTTTGGAGTTAGCGAGAGAGGATTGGTGGTCGAGGGATGGGCCTCGCAATTGAATATTCTAGGACATGAAAATATTGGGGGATTTTTAAGTCACCGTGGATGGAACTCAGTTTTGGAGAGTGCATTTTGGCATTCCTATTATTGCAGTGCCTGTGCATCTTGACCAGCCTATCAATGCCAGATTTGTTGAAGATATTGGTGTTGGTGTGGAGGTGGTGAGGGACTCAACGGGACAGCTTCACAGAGAGAGAGAGAGAGAGTAGCAGAAGTTATTAAGCAAGTTGTCATGGGAAAAAGCTGATGAAATGAGAGTGAAAATAAGTGAAAACGGAGATCAAGAAATTGATGATGTTGTAGCAGAGTTAGTAGAGGTTTGCACCAGCAGTCCTAGCATTTAATAGTTGGGTCAATATTTGGTTTTTTGTTATGTTCTTCCTCATTTAAATGTTAGGACTGATATTAGACTTTCTTGTCTTGTTTTGTGCTCACACTGATAATTTAATTCAGTGTGTATCTCACTTTCAATTAGTTATAAATTTGATTACAGTTTTAGAATTTTAAAATTATATTCGCATGGTTCGTCGATAGTTTCGTGTTGTTTTAATCACATTAAAACAAAAATGCTCGTTTCTTGTTTTTTCTTCCTCTATCAATGGATAATATGGAAGTTCTTATTAAGAAAAATGCAGAAAATTCAAGACTAGCAAAACTTTGATATGTATGACGCGCATGAACGGCAAAAACAGTAAACATAATCGCAGATCTAAGTAGCACAAAACGAATATAACTTCAAGTTTCAAGAAAAAAATGAAATTAATATCGCAAACAATTTGGTTCATTGTGACTAACTATTAAAATGTAACCTTAAAATTCCAATTGGAGGTGATGGTGGTGATGACAGGTGGTGGATTGTGGTGCTAGTCCGTGGTGTGAGCGAATTTGTTCGTTGTGACCATTTGTGACCAAATTTATGTGTACTGTGACTAATTGTGACCAGTTTTGTGTTAATTGTGACTTGAATATGATCAAGTCACAATCGGTCACAATTAACACAAAATTGGTCACAAACGGTCACACTGAACACAAATTTGGTCACAAACGGTCACATTGAAAGCTGCAACCGAAATTGGTGGTGTCGGCGAACTTTTCTGATCCAGATCGCGATTTGACTACCGGGTAGTTCATTGTGACCGTTCGTGACCGATTGTGACCATTTGTGGCCTATTGTGACCGTTTGTGACTGATTAATTGTGACTCATTGAGACCGATTGTGACCGTTTGTGGCCGATTGTGACCAATCCATGGGTTGGGGGGGTGTGATTTTCAATTTTTTGAAAATTTTGAAATTGCCGGAACGATCGCCAGAGAAGTCGCCGGAGCAATGATCGGATCGTCGCCGGAGCAGTGGCCGGACCGGTGCCGGAGATGGAGGGTGGTGGTGTAGTGAGGAGATGGGGTGGGTGAGGTGTCATGGGGTGGTGTAAATAATTAATATATATTATATTATAATTTAATATTTAATATATTATAATTTAATATTTAATTAATTTATTTATCACCTGATTTTTGAAATAATTAAACAAATTTGTTAGTTTTGAAATGTGAACTTTAAAACTAGTAGATATGTATTGTTCCCTTACGAATATGTTGGTTTCGATTTGAATTATCGTCAAACCAAATATGTTGGGTTGGGTTTATGTTTGACTCAAAACCAATCCAACCCAACCAACGCCCAACCCTAGTTGGATTTACAACTTTTCAACCACACATTTCATCAACTTTTATCAAAATCTACTAAAAATAAATTTTAATCCCCAACAAACATGGGCTAAAGATAAATGAATTTTTTTTAAAAAAATAACAATAAATTACTTATAATTTGGTCAGTCTCCTATTAAATAAGAATTATATCAAACATAATTTTGATTTTTGGAATCTAATCTGTAGTAATTATGTTAAACACACACGGGTTGATGTCGCTAGTCACTGATATTGCAATTTTGAGTTTGAATTTTTATTCACTCTTTACAACCTCTGATGTAATAAAGAAAATGTTAATGTTTGTGTACGCTTAAAATCGAAAGGTATAAATGATGAAATTAGTCACGTCTCTCTTCTTTGTCAGCCATATTTAAGAATCCAACATGACATGGGCAAAATATTATATCAAATGTGAAACTTTGCATATCATCATATGCGCAAATCCAAATTGTCTATTCAAAGCAAATTGCCCTAACAAACCCTAACCAAACTTTATTTCTTAGAGACAAATAAATCCATAAAGAACAAGAAAAATTATTAGCATTCTCAAAGTGACGTTTTGTAATAAAGTCATCCTCCAAGTTTCCTCCTAATCGTCATGGCATCTTGGCCATTTACCTTAAATCCCTTCTTCAAAATTTCATTAGGCATCGGTGACTTCAATGTGAATGTGGGAACAGTCAAAATTTGAGCATCCAGGTTTTGACAACATATTCCTGACATTGTCGATGTTGGATTAATTGTGTTGATATTGTACAGAAAATGTATCAAGCCTTTTGAGAAGACAAAGCAATCACCGGGACGTATACAAACGACTACTCGTGTCTACAAAGCCAACTAGAAGTGAACTCTTGTGAAGAATTGTGACCTCTAATGCCCTAGGTGGTTAGAATGGGGTGGAAAATGCCATCTCGGGCCACCCGAAGTGTTGAATCGGGTAGATTATTAACGTTAGTAAGGGTAACATTAAATCCAAATTGATTTCCAGTGTCACCACTTTTGGATAGTGCAGAACTAAGGCAAGTTCTGGATTGATGCATGGTTACCAATTGTGGAACACGTTGAGGGTATTTTTTGTTTTTGTAACACAATAATCTTGAACCAAATCAGGATTGAGTGTGACGAAGTTTAAAACAGATATTATGCGCAAGAAAAGTTGGGGCAACAACAACATTAATGATTTTCATGCTGAATTTAATGACAAAAAATTGGATTTGAGACCTAATTTTTTCAAATAAGCCACATGCGTTATAACTTATATAGTGCTGATTGTTAGGTGATGTTGAGCAAATATATATCCACTCATGAGTGATTGACTAGCTTAAGAGCATTAGAAGTAAAGAAAAGAAGGCAAGTCATGGTGGTGAGATTGACATAAAAACAGGGGTAATTAGTACAAAATATCTCACCTTTCATTGTTATTATGAAAAACGTCATTGTCTTTCATTTTTTGGCATTGTCTTTCATTTTTGGCATTTTCACATTTATTTTCACTTTTCATTGCGCAAAAGAATCTTTTTCATCCATTTTATCAATTAAAAATTGTAAAATGACGAAAATATAATTTCCTTTAAATCAAACAAAAGGAAAAAGAAAAAAAATAAGTGCAAACATAGTCCCAACTTTTTTGAAAAGCACAAATGAGTCATAAATAAATTATTAAAGGGTAATTAGCACACAATACCCCTACCTTTCACAATTATTGCGAAAAAAATCACTACCTTTTATTTTTTTTTGGCATTTTCTCCCTTAATTATATTTTGGTAGCGCAAATCATCATTTCTACCAATTTTCATCCAATTTCTCAATAAAGAACTGTAAAATAATGCACATACCCTCATATTTAAGTAAAAATATATTTTTTTTAATTTCTAATTCTTTAATATTTTATTTGGGACTCGTTTGCACTTTTTATCTTTTTTTAATTTTTTTAATAAATTTAATTGGGACTGGTTTGCACTTTTCATAAAAGAATTAAATTTTTAAAATAATTTATTAGGGACTCGTTTTTACTTTAAAAAAAAAATTGGGACGATGATCGCAATTAATTCTTTAACTTTTTTATTTAAATATGAGGATATATACGTCATTTCATTATTTTTTTATTGAGAAATTGGATTTAAAAATAATGGTTTGCGCTATCAAATTATAATTAAGGGAGAAAATGCAAGAAAAATAAAAGGAATGGATGTTTTTCGCAATAATAGTAAAAGGTAGGGATATTATGTTCTAATTGCTCTTTTAATAATTTATTTGAGACTCATTTGGGTTTTTCAAAAAAGTTTGGACTATATTTGCAATTAATTTTTTCTTTTTCGTTTTGTTTTATTTAAAAGGAATGATATTTTCGTCATTTAACAATTTTTAATTGAGAAAATGAATAAAAATAACCTTTTGCGCAATGAAAGATGGAAATAAGGGTGAAAATGTAAAAATTGAAAGCTATGGACATTTTCTACAATAACAATGAAAGGTGGGGACGTTTTGTGCTAATTACTCTAAAAACAAAAAGCAAAAGAAAAAAAATGAGATCTCAAGACAAGAAGGGGAACATAAGATATGACAATTTTTCAAAATTTAATTGGCCATATGCTCAAAATGGGATAATATGTTATGTGGATTTTTGGACATATGCTCAAAATGGGATAATATATGTAGGTTGTTATTTTTTGGATAATTAGCACATTCAAAATGGGATAATATGTTATGTGGAATTTTGGCCATATGCTCAAAATGGGATAATATATGTGGGTTGTTATTTTTTGGATAATTAGCACATAACGTCTTTACCTTTCACTGTTATTGTGGATAACGTCATCACCTTTTATTTTTTGGCATTTTCACATTTCATTGTGCAAAATGTCATTTTCATCCATTTTCTCAATTAAAAATTGTGAAGTGACAAATATATCATCTCTTTAAATAAAACAAAAGAAAAAAGAAAAAAATAATTGTAATCATGTTCCAAATTTTTTTAAAAGCGCAAAAGAATTTCAAATAAATTATTAAAAGGGTAATAGCACATATTATCCCTACTTTTTACTATTATTGCAAAAAAATTCATACCTTTTATTTATTTTTTTAGCATTTTCACCCCCAATTACACATTTAATTGTGCAAACCATCATTTCCATCAATTTCCATTCAATTTCTCAATAAAAAGCTGTGAAATGATGAATTGTGATAATATCAAGTGATCGAAATTTGGAAAATGTTGCGATCAAATTCCGCCACTATTAACTTTAGCCATCCTATTTAAATAAAATGCTAAAAAATTAATTGTAATTATAGTCCCAAAATTTTTTAAAAAGTGCAAACAAGTCTCCAATAAATTATTTAAAAATATTTTAATTGTTTAAAAAAAAGTGCAAATGAGTCCTAAATAAATTTAAAGAATTGGAAATTAAAAAATATTTTTTTATTTAAATAGGATGGTATATTCATTATTTCACGATTCTTTATTAAAACATTGGAGGAAAATAGATGTAAATGATGTTTTGTA